GGCTGGGGCGGGTGGGGATGGACAGGGCAGAGCTGGAGAGCAGGAACAGGCAGAGATGGACAGACAGGGATGGACAGTAACAGGCAGGGATGGACAGGGCAAGGACAGGGACAGGCAGGAATAGACAGGGATAGGGGTAGGTACAGGCTCAGTGAAAGGTTGGACAGGGATGAGCAGGAATGGATATGGATGGACACGACAGGGACTAGCAAGGATGGGCAGGGAGGGACAGGGACAGTCAGGGATGGAGAGGGACAGTCAGGAATGAACAGGGACAGTCTGGGATGGACGGTGCTGTTCCCGCGCTGACCGACAGAGGGCCCTCCGGCGCAGGGCTGGGGGCGCGGCGGCTCCCGGGTCCCCCCCCCCGGGTTTCGGGGGTTCGGGGGGGGCTGGAGGGGACTGTGACCCCTCTGCATCCAGCTGGGATGGGTTTAGAACAGGCATAATCATTAACAACCTAATATATACACACATATATATATAAACACAGGTATACATATATGTATAAACACATATATACATACATATACACACACAGACAGGTATATGTGTGTGTGTGTGTATAAATATACATGTATGTATGTGTATGTATATGTGTATGTCTGTATATATACACACATACATATATATAAAATTAAAATAAAATAAAATAATTAAATAAAATAATGCCAAGGAAGTGCAAGGGTTGAGATTTGAGTTGGGTTTGGGTTTGGGCCACTCTTCACCCTTGTGGGTGCCCGGGGTCCCCATCCTCAGCCCCCTGGAGGGGGGGTCAGGGCAGTGTGTGGACACACAGAGCTGAGGAAAACACCTCAGCACCCCCCAATGCCTCTCTGTAGGTGACAAACCAACTCCCTCCCTGCTGGCAGGAGCCGGTGCTGTGCTTTTTCCTGGGAATTGGGTTCCCCTGCCCTATGGAGTCCCCTGGCCCGCAGCATCCTGGACCAACACACGCTACTCCAGCCCAGAGCCTGGGATAATGAAAGATTCAAAAATAATATTTGTTTTGGCGGAACTACATTTATAATGAAATAGGTGCCCTTGACCAGGGAAGAAACTGAATTTTGCAACGGGTCATTTTTACCCCCCTCCCCCTTTTTTTTCCATACAAACAGGCTCTGCAGCCACTCTAAGGCAAATAGGAATATTTTTGAAGGACTCTGTTGTATTTCCTGCATCGGATTTGCAGCAGAATTGCAGCCACACTGGTTGTACTGTTTGACGCCGGGATGAAAAATGCAGATTCCATCCCATGTATCAATCCCAAATGGAAAAGGGCCCCAGGCTCCAGGATTGTTACAGATCACTTCCATGCACGCCGAGTTTGCAGCGTAATGAGCTCAGACTGGAAGCATCTTAAACAGAAAACCGATTCATTGGAGTGCTGGGGACATTTTTAGATACGTGCCCGAATTTCCTTCTCTTTAGAATTAGGGGAATTACTCATCTGATTGGGGCAAGAAAAAGCTGCTCCTTAAATTTCCGTTTAATTTTTCTAAGCAGTTCTCAGGCATCAGGAACTTTTTTGATTTACCAAGTGGAACTTGATATTTGCTGTATCAGTTCCAAATTATATTAAGTTATAGACAAGGATTGATAATTTTAAACTATTGTTTCTGTTAACATCACAGTATTATTAACATTAATATTATCATTGCTATCAATATTACGATGATCTCTAAGGTCCCTTCCAACCCTAACCATTCTATGATTCTATGATTATTATCTCTTCTACAAAAATCACAGATTGTTAATTTTAATCATTTCCCCCCCTATTTTAAATTTATATTATCTATGGTGTGTGTTGCATCCAGCAGATGCAACAGAAAATTGCATCAGAGAATTGGTATTAAAATGGTTATTTATTGGGAAAGGTGATGGTGCAGACCTGCTTTCTTAAAGAAAATGCAATAAAAGAGTAAACCTATAGAAAATTCCTGAAAAACTTAAAGCATAGTATTCCAAGGGGAATCCTGTAAGATTTATGGACTATTTCAAGAATAATTTCCCACCAAGAATCTTACAGGAATGTAAAAATCCTCAAAGAATTGCGTTTACAGATTTAATTGTAATTGCTTTTATATTCTTAGAGAAATTGAGGAGAAATGTGGTTCAAAGGCTTGTGTGTGAGGGGCTGTGCCCTCCACTCCCAGCAACTGCGCCGGCTCTAAAAACAATGGAAAATATTCCTGACAGCCCCTCACTGGCCATTAGAGAGGAGATTTCGGCTACGCTGATGTGCAAACGCAGCTTGTCAAAGGCCTGGCTGCTATTTGGGTTTCAAATAACATGTGGAGGGTGTGAGTAACAAACACACACATGTAGTTTGTCCCTTGGAAAAGGAACATTCCACCTATTTTTCAATTTTTTTCCCCTTTTTTCCTCATTTTTATAATTTTACTTCTTTTCTTCCTTTGTTTTATTTTTTCTCCTTTTTTTCTTTTTTCTTTCTCTTTTCTTTTTTTCCTCCCTTTTGTTTTTCCCCACTCTTTTTTTTTTCCCTGCAGGTCTGTCCTAACAAAACCTTTAATCCCTCCCTATCCTCAAGCCTGAATTTCCAGGTGATTGTCTCTCCCTGTCGCTATTTTTGTCATACATCGTTTTTAGCGAGCAACAAATCCTCTATTCTTTTTTTCCACTCAGCAAACCCCCTTTTCTTCCCCAAATTGTTACTCCAGGGGGAACAAGGACGAGCACCTTGACCCCACCACTGCAGACTGGAGGGTGAGGGGGAGAGGCCACCTCGGTTTTGCTCCTTCCCGACCCGCGGCAAGGCAGGATGGGGAGCGAGTGCTCCCCCCGAACCTGATCCACACCAGCCCCTGTCCCGTGTGAGGGAACGTGGGAGTGGCAGCCAAAAGTGGGGCTGGGGGCCAGGGAAGGCCCCCAGCCTGCCCGGAGCCGGGGGTCTGGGCTCCATCAGCCGCGTCCGGCGGGACGAGACGTGGTAGCTGCTCCAGGAGGTGAAAATTGACGTGAGCATGGGATGTTGGCAGCACCTCAGGCTGATGAAAGGACATTGTTAACAAGCCCTTAACGTTTCTCATTAATGGCTGGGTTGGGTGGGTGAGGTTTTTTTCGCTGAAAAAAGCCAGAAGACAAAAAAAAAAAAAAATCCACCTGGGCAGTAATTGAGATCGATCCCGTACAGTGCGTGGAGTTATCAATTTTTAAAACCTCTTTAAGTGCCTTATTTAGTTATTTTAAACAGGGCTTTTTATTTGTTGCTGCAAGTGTTCCTGGAGGATATATTCATGAGGGCTGTGAGGAGCGTGGGGGACTCCTCCTGGGCTCTTCTTCTTAGTCAGTCATCATCCAACCTGCAGAAAAGCGGGTGCTGGTCCATTCCCTTCCTGCTGTCCATGGCTGCTGTGGGTGCCAGGACAGCACATGGAGCCCATCCGGTGCTGGGTGTATTATTTGAGGTGGAATTGCTCTTATTTTGCTGAAATTATTGCTGCAAACTGCAGCAGTGGTGTTAAAAGAGGAACTCTTGCTCTCTAAGTTGGCGCGGGCTCGAGCGAGGAAGGTGAGGGTCAAGCCCAGAGCGAGGGATTCTGCCTAGTCCCAGGATGGGGCTCAGCCTAAGTTAGGCACCAACCGAGGTCAGACAGGCTGAAGGAGGCAGTGTTTAATTAAAATAACCCTCAGTATGACCCCAAGTGCAGAACTGCTGAGAAAAACAGCTGCAACCCTTTTATCTGAGGACGAGCAACCGTGCGATGATGTAATTTTCATTTCCGATGAGCACCGAGATGACCTAATTCCACATGGAATCTTGTCTCTCAGTTCAAAGTAGGACATTTGAGTCGATCTGGAATTTGGCTCTGAGCTTGCCCGTGTGGCTCCACTGAGCCCTCCCAGCCCCTCTCAGATCCAAGGCTGGAGCATGAGGGCAGGACATCGGGAAAGGGAATCCCAAGCAGATTTTGATCCAGACTTGCCTTAAATCTTCAAAACTCTGGCAAGCAGAAGGAAAACCCTTTGTATTTCCATTGGTGCATACTGGGATGTTTTGGAAAATTGCTGTTGATTGCTGAGAGCAGCTGTGGCTTCCCCATCCCTGGAAGTTTCCAAGGCCAGGTTGGATGGAGCTTGGAGCAACCTGAGCTTAGTGGAAGGTGTCCCTGCCCATGGCAGGGTGTGGAACAAGATGATCTGTAAGGTCCCTCCCAACCCAAGCCATGATTTTATAATTGTACAACTTTGTTCTCATGGCTGACCCACGATTTTCAAAAGTATGAGCCTCAAACATGGTCCTTACTTCTGCTTTTATGATTCAAACACATTTTATGTGCTTTTGAAACTACCATCAGCATGGTAAATGCAGATTGAATTTTAGGGCAGTGGTCACACTTTCAGTGGTTAAATGACAAAATAACTGGTGCAAGGAATGATTTCTTCATACCACCCAGCAAAAAATCTCTTTCCTGTCTGAACAAAACACTCAC